GGGTGCCTGGCCAGCCTGAATGAGGGGATGATGGCTGTTTGCAGCTGGTCACACCCCCTTCAGGGTGGGGGTCCCCACTGGGTGCCTGGCCAGTCTAGGTGAGGGGCTGAGGGCCGTTTTCAGGCTGGCAGGTGACTGAAGCACCCAACCTCCCCTTTTTTCTTTTCTTTTTTTATTCTGAGATTTATATACCTTCTATGGCTGTCACTGGAACTGAGAGCAGGCTTTAGCTCTAAGGCTTGGCTCCAGCTCTGAGACCTCAGCTGCTGAAAGCAGGTATCTGGGTTTGTTTGGCTTCTATAATTGAAACACTGTTGCAGCTCCTGCTCTGAGGCCCGGCTGGCTGAAAGCAGGTTTCTGGGTTTTGTTTAGCTTCTATAATTGCAACATTGTTTCTTAGATTGCAGCTGAGAGGCCAGCAGCGGCAGACGGGGAACCTTGGCTTCCTTCATCACTGGAGCAAGGAAGCCTCCTGTTCGCTTCAGCTGCCTGGCTGCCGGCCGCCATCTTGGTTGGCAGTTAATTTGCAAATCGCCCTGATTAGCCAATGGGAAGCGTGTCGGAGGTATGGTTAATTACCATGCTTGTCTATTATTAGATAGGATTCCGGCTCAGTGAGATGGTGTTTTGGGAAGAAAGTGGTTGAATTCATAAGTATACTGCTCAGATGTGTACAAAGCTGTGAAATGATGTGAATACTGTTTTATTTACAGTTGAGGCTCAATCAATTGGCTTTTTGGAATCAGGTGTTCTAAACCCTTCAGAATTCATAAGTAATACTGCTCAGAATTTGTGTACAAAGCTGTGAAATGACAAGAATACTGTTTATATTTACAATTGAAGCTCAATGAGTTGGCGTTTTGGAATAAAGTTCTTTCAACCCTCAAGAATTCATGAGTATACAGCTAAGAAAATGGTCTTAATGAGGTTAAAACTATTAGAATACACAATGATAACCCCGGGAAATGTTTGGGAATATCTATGAAACTCTGGAAATATAGGTAAATAGAGCCTTAGTATCTGTATGGCGGTGTTAAAACAATGAGATTTCATGTAGAAAGCTGTGAAATGATGAGTATACTGTTTATCTTTACAATTCCGGCTTAGTGAGATGGTGTTTTTGAAAGAATGTGTTTTAAACCCTCAGAATTCATGTTTATAGAGCTCTGATTTTGTGTGTAAAGCTGTGAAATGCCGAGAATACTTTTTTAAAATTTTTAAATTC